TACAAAATCATTAGGAAATGAATAAAATTAGATTCCTTTTTTTGTCATTGTTCTTAGTTTTAGTAATTATTTTTTATTTAGCTTTATGCCCTCAGTTCATTTTTAGGTTTCTAAAACATTTTAGTATATATTTTTTTCTAGTTTATTTTTGCTTCCTTCTTTTTTCGGGAGAAGTTGTGTCAAGTCCTCACTCTCCAATTCCACAGGTCCCAGCCCCCTTTCCTTAACTATTTAATTTTGTATGTAAATGTGGTTGTAATAGGCTACAGTAACATGGAAAATTGATTAATTTATAATTTGTTAGAAGTTATAACTCATTCAGAAATGTAATTTACTACAAACTTTTAAAAATATAAAAAACTATAATATCCAAATTATTTTTTCATTTTTTTCAAAAATATATAAAATCATGATAAACTTGTGAGAAAATAATAATATAAATCCCAACACTGATCTATTAGTAAAATATAGAAAAAATTCATGTTTTCCATTTTATAACATGAAATAAAACATCCCCCAAGTATTAACATTTTAATAATATGACTCTTTTAGAAACCAGTGGGCCATAACTTCTTTTTCCATCATGGTTTTATGAGATCTTGGATTTCTAAAATTCATTTGCCTTTCTTGTGAATTTACTTATGTTGGGTGTATTTTTGTCATTTCAAACTTGGATTGTTTCTGTAAGTCACCAGTTCTGCTGACTCTGACTGAAAAGAAAATATTTCCTGATTAGATGTTTGTTTTTTCTTATATCTTTCCATAGTATTTGTATTTAAATAGGGAAAGAGGGAAGGAGGCAGATAAGGTTCACTTGGATACCCATCTACAAAGCTATGCTATTTCAGAATAGGTTGTGAGCCTAGTACGATGTCCTTGGGCCTCTAGAATAATATGCTCAATGTGAGTTGTGTGTGTGTGTGTGTACCATCTTCCATCTGCAAATTGGTCCTTTGTGGGATGAATTCTGAAAGTGAGAATGAGTTTTAAATATTTTATAGCAATTACACATTGCTGGGTCATTTTTATTGTATTTTACAAATGTTTCCATTTGCAACAGAGTGATAGAAAAAAACTTCATTGTGATAGTACGAGAGTCAAAAGACATGGTGAATAATATTTGACTGGTCCTGAGGTCAGGGAAAAATATTTGAGAATAAGGACCAATATTACCTCCAACCTCTGGAAGAGGTGGATTCCAAGGCACCGAGAGGTAAAAGGGAAAGCTAACAAAATCACTGGATTCTTGATGACAACTTGTAGTTGGGGAGCAAAGCTTAGAAGTGAGATCTGTAATGGTATTGTTTATATGCCTTTTACAAGGGAAGTTGTTCTACATGATTCAACACATGAAAACAAGAAGCTGAAAAATAAGACGACTTTTGATGAGTTATGAATATCTATAACAATGTAGGAGCCAAACCACAGAAATCTCTCAAAAGATCTATAATCTATAATCTTTCACGAGTGATGCTTCTCCAGGAGTAAGTACCAAGAGGTGACCTACCAACAACAGGCACATGTATGCCCACACATAGAGATCCTGAAAAGAGCTCAGCATCTGAACCTTGGTTCCAAAACTGGATTACTCTGCAACCATAGCTCCTGGGGTACATGGCAGTGTTTCAGTGCTGGAATCCTACAATGGCACACCTCATCTTGGAGGGAGGGGAAGTCAGTTTTCCTTGATGGTGGGAGGTGAAGCCAGCTGGACTTCCTGGGCCAAGTGTGGACTTGGAGAACTTTTCTGTCTTACAAGAGGATTGTAAAATTCACCAATCAGCACTCTGTAGCTAGGATTGTAAAATGCATCAATCAGTGCTCTGTAGCTAGCAAGGGGATTGTAAAATGCACCACTCAGCATTCTGTAAAAATGTACCAATCAGTGCTCTGTAGCTAGCAAGAGAATTGCAAAATGTGCCAATCAGCACTCTGTAGAATGCACCAATCAGCTCTCTGTAAAATGCACCAGTCAGCACTCTTTAAAATGTACCAATCAGCGCTCTGTAAAATGCATCAATCATCAGGAGTCTAAAAGTAGCTAATTGTGGGGAAGATTGAAAAAAGGACACTGTGATAGGACAGAAATGGAACATGGGAGGGGACAAATAAGGGAATAAAAGCTGGCCACCCCAGCCAGCAGTGGCAACCTGCTTGGGTCCCCTTCTATGCTACGGAAGCTTTTTCTTTCACTCTTCCCAATAAACCTGCTACTACTCACTCTCTGTGTCCATGCCATCTTTAAGAGTTGTAACACTCACTGTGAAGGTCCACAGCTTCATTCTTGAAGTCAGCAAGATCACAAACCCACCAGAAGGAACAAACTCAGACATCATGGGGGCTCGTCTGGGATATCGCCATGCAGTGAGTACCACCAGACCCCCTTCACTTGCTATTCTGTCCTATTTTTCCTTAGAATTCGGGGACTAAACACTGGACACCTGTTGGCCAGTTAAAAGTGACTAGTGCAGCTGCCGGACTAAAGACATGGGTGTCAGGCTTTCAGGGAAAGGGCTCTCTAACAACCCCCAACTCTTTGGAGTCAGGAGCATTGGTTTACCTGGAACAAGCGTCCACTTTTCCTGCACTTACGGGCTGAGCCAAGGGACAACAGAGAGGAAAGCCGTTCAGCTCCGGGGTCCCAACAAAAAGTTGGTTGAGCCTGCAGCCATGAGCAGAACTCTCAAAGTTACATCACCCAAGCCAGACTCACCCATCTATCCTATCTATCCTGGCCCTTGCCTCCTGGGTCCTAGTGCCTGTCAGACAAACTTCCTCCCACTTCTCTTATCTGAGGTTAGTCCTGATTCTAAAAACCACTCCCTGTCCTTGGTGCTCTTCTAGTTTCTCCCCTAAGGATGATTTTTTAATATAAATTTCAGGACTCTGCTCCCTTCTTTAGGCATTTGGCCTCACCAATCAGAAAGACATAATTTTTGCCCAAAGTCTGTCAGGGAGAGGCTCTCTGGAATTTTAGGATCCCTCCTTGGACTACCAGGCCTAACAAAGGCTATTCCTGAAGCTAGGGTATGAGGAGTCTCAGAAATTATATCCTTCCTATTCATGTGATGAGAAGTGAGGAAAAAAGGTGTCACTCTTTCAACCCTGTAGATCCCTTCCCTCCCTCAGGGTATGGCCCTCCACTCCATTTTGAGGCATATCATCTTTATAGGACAAGGATAAGGTCCCAATACTAACATGAAAAAATGCTTAGGACTCTAACTACCAGGTTTTTGAGAATGTGTCATTAAGGGTCACTAAATCCAATTTTTCTTGGACCTCTTTGGGGTCTAAGAGGAAAGGTAAGGGTGCATGTTTTTGAGAATGCGTCAGTAAGGGCTGCTAAATCCAACCTTCCTCGGTCCTTTTTGTGGTCTAGGAGGAAAACTAGTGTTTCTGCTGCTGCTTTGGTGAGCGCAACTATTCCGAACAGCAGGGACCAGGTATTGTTGCAGGTTCTTGGGCAGGGAAACAAGCAAACAATAAAAATGCGGGCAGTTTTTCTTTCAGATGGAAAACACTCAGGCATCAACCAATTCACCCTTGAAATGCATCTTAAGACATTGGGACCAATTTGACCTGCAAACCCTGAAAAATAAGCAGCTTTTTTCTGCACTACGGCCTGGCCCCAATATTCTCTCTCTGATGGGGAAAAATGTCCACCTGAGGGAAGTATAAATTATAATACTATTCTGCAGCTTGACCTTTTCTGCAAGAGGGAAGGCAAATGGAGTGAAATACCTTTTGTCCAAGCTTTCTTTTCATTGAAGGATAATCCACAACTATGCAAAGCTTGCAATTTACATTCCACAGGAGGACCTCTCAGCCTACCTCCGTATCCTAGCCTCCCTACAGCTCCCCTTCCTGTTAATGATAAGCCTCCTTTAATCTCCCCCACCCAGAAGGAAATAAGCAAATAAATCTCCAAGGGACCACTAAACCCCCGGGCTAACGGTTATGTCCCTTCATGCTGTAGGGGGAGTGGAATTTGCCCCAACCCGGGTACATGTCCCCTTCTCCTTCTCTGATTTAAAGCAGATCAAGGTAGACCTGAAGAAGTTTTCAAACAATCCTGATAGGTATATAGATGTCCTACAGGGTCTAGGGAAAACCTTCAACCTCACTTGGAGAGATGTCATGCTATTGTTAGATCAAACCCTGGCCTTTAATGAAAAGAATATGGCTTTAGCTGCAGCCTGAGAGTTTGAAGATACCTGGTATCTTAGTCACGTAAATGATAGAATGATAGCTGAAGAAAGGGACAAATTGCCTACTGGTCAGCAAGCCATCCCCAGTATGGATCCCCACTGGGACCTTGACTCAGATCATGGGGACTGGAGTCACAAACATCTGTTGACCTGTGTTCTAGAAGGACTAAGGAGAATTAGGAAAAAGTCCATGAATTATTCAATGATGTCCACCATAACTCAGGGAAAGGAAGAAAATCTTTCCGCCTTCCTCGAGTGGGCCTTAAGAAAATATACTCCCCTCTCACCCAACTCCCTCGAGGGACAATTGATCCTAAAAGATAAGTTTATTACCCAATCAGCCGCAGATATCACGAGAAAGCTCCAAAAGTGAGCCCTGGGCCCTGAACAAAATCTGGAGGCATTATTAAACCTGGCAACCTTGGTGTTCTATATAAGGACCAAGAGAAACAGGCCAAAAGGAAAGGCAAGATCAGAGAAAGGCCGTAGCCTTAGTCATGGCCCTCAGACAAACAAACATTGGTGGTTCAGAGAGAACAGAAAATGGAGCAGGCCAATCACCTGGTAGGGTTTGTTATCTGTGTGGTTTGCAAGGACACTTTAAGAAAGATTGTCCAGTGAGAAACAAGCTGCCCCCTTGCCCATGTCCGCTATGCCAAAGCAATCACTGGAAGGCACACTGCCCCAGAGAACAAAGATTCTCTGGTCCAGAATCCCCCAACCAGATGACCCAACAATAGGACTGAGGGTGCCCAAGGCAAGCACCAGCTTATGTCATCACCCTCACTGAGTCCCAGGTAAGTTTAACCATTTAGGGCCAGCAAATTGACTTCCTCCTGGATACTGGCGTGGACTTCTCAGTGTTAATCTCCTCTCCTGGGTGGCTGTGCTCAAGGTCCATTACCATCCAAGGAATCCCGGGACAGTCTATAACCAGGTATTTCTCCCACCTCTTCAGTTGTAATTGGGAGACTTTGCTTTTTTAACATGCCTTTCTTGTTATGCCTTAAAGTCTCACACCCTTCTTAGGGAGGGACATATTAGCCAGAGCTGGAGCTATTATCTATGTGAATATGGTGAACAAGTTACCCATTTGTTTTCCCCTACTTGAAGAGGGAATCAACTCTGAAGTCTGGGCATTGGAAGGACAATTTGGAAGGGCAAAAAATGTCTGCCCAGTCCAAATCAGGCTAAAAGACCCCACCAATTTTCCTTATCAAATGTAATATCCCTTATGGCCTGAAACTCATAAAGGATTACAGAATATTGTTAGACACTTAAAAGCTCAAGCCTTAGTAAGGAAATGCAACACCCCAATTCTAGGAGTACAAAAAACAAATGGTCATTGGAGACTAGTGCAACATCTTAGACTCATCAATGAGGCAGTAATTCCTCTATATCCAGTTGTACCCAACCCCTATACCCTTTTCTCTGAAATACCAGAGGAAGCAGAATGGCTCACTGTTTTGGACCTCATGGGTGCCTTCTTCTGCATTCCCCTGCACTCTGACTCCCAGTTTCTCTTTGCCTTTGAGGATCCCACAGACCACACGTCCCAACTCACGTGTATGGTCTTGCTCCAAGAATTTAGGGATATCCCTCATCTGTTTGGTCAGGCACTGGCCCAAGATCTAGGACACTTTTCAAGTCCAGGCTCTTTGGTCCTTCAGTATGTGGATAATTTACTTTTGGCTACCAGTTCGGAAGCCTTATGCCAGCAGGCTACTTGAGATCTCTTGAACTTTCTAGCTAACAAAGAGTACAAGGTGTCTAAATCGAAGTCCCAGCTCTGCCTACAACCAGTCAGATATCTAGGCCTAATCTTAGCCAGAGGAACCAGGGCCCTCAGCAAAGAACAAATACAGCCTATCCTGGCTTGTCCTCACCCTAAGACATTAAAACAGTTGCGGGAGTTCCTTGGGATCACTGGCTTTTGCCGACTATGGATCCCCAGATACAGCGAGATGGCCAGGCTGCTCTATACTCTAATCGAGGAGACCCAGAGGGCAAATACTCATCTAGTAGAATGGGAACCAGAGGCAGAAGCAGCCTTCAAAACCTTAAAGCAAGCCCTAGTACAAGCTCCAGCCTTAAGTCTTTCCACAGGACAAAACTTCTTTTTACATGTCACAGAGAGAGAGGGAATAGCTCTGGGAGTTCTTACTCAGATTCGTGGGACAACTCCACAACAGTGGCATACCTAAGTAAGGAAACTGATACAGTAGCAAAAGGCTAGCCTCACTCTTTATGGGTAGTTGCGACAGTGGCCATCTTAGTATCAGAGGCTATCAAAATAATACAAGGAAAGGATCTCACTGTCTGGACTACTCATGATGTAAATGGCACATTAGGTGCCAAAGGAAATTTATGGCTATCAGAAAACTGCCTGCTTAGATACTGGGTGCTACTCTTTGAGGGATCGGTGCTTCACATACACATGTGTGCAGTCCTCAACCCTGTTACTTTTCTCCCAGAGGATGGTGAACCAATTGAGCATGACTGCCAACAAATTGTAGCCCAGATGTATGCCGCCCAAGAGGATCTCTTAGAAGTCCCCTTAGCTAATCCTGACCTTAACTTACATACTGGTGGAAGTTGATTTGTGGAGAATGGGATATGCCATTGGTTATGCCATAGTTAGTGATGTAACAGCATTTGAAATTAAACTTCTTCCCCCAGGGACCAGCACCCAGTTAGCAGAACTAGTGGTGCTTACCCAAGCCTTAGAACTGAAATAAATGTGTATACAGATATCAAGTATGCTTATCTAATCCTACATGCCCATGCTGCAATATGGAAAGAAAGGGAGTTCCTAACCTCTGGGAGAACCCCCATTAAATACCACAAGGAAATCATGAAGTTATTGCACATAGTGCAAAACCCAAGGAGATGGCAGTCTTACATTGCCAAAGCCATCAAAAAGGTGAAGGAGAAAAGGCAGAAGGAAACCGTCGGGCAGACACTGAGGCCAAAATTGTTTCCAGGTGGAATCTCCCATTAGAAATACCTATGGAAGGACCCTTGGCATGGAACAACCCTCTCCAAGAGATTAAGCCCCAGTATTCCCTGATTAAAACAGAATGGGGACTTTCATGGGGGCATAGTGTTCTCCCCTTGGGGTGGTTAATGACAGAAGAGGAAAAGGTACTCATATCTGAAGCCAGCCAGTGGAAAATACTTAAGGCCCTCCACCAAACCTTTCATATGGGTATTGAGAACACTCATCAAATGACCAAATCCCTATTTACAGGGCCAAATCTCCTCCAGACCATCCAACAAGTAGTCAAAGCCTGTGAGGTGTGCCAAAGGAATAATCCCTTGGTACATCATGAGGCCACTCTGGGGGAAGAAAGAATAGGTCACTATCCCAGGGAGGACTGGCAGTTAGACTTCACCCATATGCCTAAGTCAAGGGGATTTCAATACTTGTTGGTCTGTGCTGATACCTTTATAAATTGGATAGAAGCCTTCCCCTGCAAGACAGAGAAGTCTCAGGAAGTGGTTAAAGTCCTAATTCATGAAATAATTCCTAGATTTGGGCTTCCCTAAAGCTTACAAAGTGGCAATCTGGCTTTTAAAGCCACAGTAACTCAGGGTATTTCCAGGGCGCTAGGGATACAACATCACCTTCACTGTGTCTAGAGGCCACAATCCTCAGGGAAGGTTGAGAAGGCAAATTAAACACTCAAGGGGCACTTAAGGAAACTAACACAAGAAACTCATCTCCCATGGCCTACTCTCTTGCCCATGGCCTTGTTGGGAATCCAAAATTCTCCTCACAAAATGGAGCTCAGTCCATATGAAATGCTGTATGGATGACCTTTTCTCACAAATGACCTCTTACTTGATCAGGAAATGGCCAACTTGGTCAAGGATATAACTTCTCTGGCAAAATATCAACAAAACCCTAAAAACCTACCTGAAGGATGTCAAAGAGACAAGGGAACAGAGTTGTTCCAACTGGGAGATCTAGTGTTGGTCAAGTCCCTCTCCTCTACCTCCCCATCCATGGATTCCTTGTGGGAAGGACCATATTTGGTAATCCTCTCTACCCCCACTGCATTTAAGGTGGCAGGAGGGGAATCTTGGATTCACCACACCAGAGTTAAACTTTGGACACCCCCTGACGAACCTGCGGGACCGTCAGTTCAGGAGTCCCAAGATCAGCCAGACCAGCTTTGATACACCTGCAAACTGTTGGAGGACTCGCGTCACCTATTCTGGAAGGAAACGTCACAGACTAAAAAGGCTCCTACAGCTGATCCTGAGGAAAAACCTTTTCCTACTTAAAAAAGATAAATGAAAACCTGTATAATCTTTAACACCTCTCCTTGCCCCTTTAATGGCATTCTTTTACTGTTTCTTCACATTATTAAGCAGTATACTAACCATACTCTATGCAGTAGGACTATATACTGTAGCTTCTGCCAGGACAGAAATCCTAATCACGTCAACCTTTTTTTCTATCCTCCTTCCTTCTGACAGCAATTTACTCCTACCTTTAACTCAGACTGGATAAAATGATCTCATCTTCCAGGGCACTCTCTTTACCTTCCTACTTACTCTTTGCCTATGTATCCCTCCTGCTTCCTTGGATACCCCACATAGTTGCCCCTCCCCTTCTACTAGCTCCTAATTACCTCTACAAGACTCTCAACTTAGCCCACTCTCTGTTAAACCAGTCCAATCCTTCCCAGCCAAATGACTGTTGGCTTTGTATCTCTCTATCAGCCACTGCTTACATTGCCACTCCCGTTCCCGCAAAAAAAAACCTGCGTCTTTACTAACTTAACCTACCACCCCAATTATGAAGGAAAAGACCCTTTCCAACTTCTAAATATGCAATCATTAGCTGACTTCCCCATCTCTGATAGGACCAAGAATACCCTAACAGGATGCGCAATCCAGCTTTTACGCTCTTACATTTCTAACCTCACCTACTACGTGAGCAATGAAAAGCCCATACACGGCCCTGTGACTACGAATACCATCTTAACTTTCCAAGCCCCTTTATGCATACAACACAACCTGTTATCAGGTCTGCCCATGGGGCATCTACTATCCCATCAGTGTAATTACACCTACAACTTCAAGCTCCAACTGATCATAGTAGTAACTTCCAGCTCACCCAAAGAGCTCCATTCAGATGGCTTGTCCGCTTCTCAGGGCCTCCAAAAATAATCACCTCCTTCCTACTTAACAAACAGTCTGGGTTTTGTAATGGCAAACATACTCCCTGTATGAACATTCACCCCTGGACCCACTGCAGCGGCACCCCCACCACTAATGAATGCCTTCTCATCCCCTCTTTCAATCACTCTCTTGAATAGTTCCTAATAGATACAAAATGGTTTTTTCTCCAATGGGAAAATAGAACACAGAGAGCCACTCAGTTTGCTCCCAACACCCCTTTCCAGTCACTCACCGGAGTTGCCTTGGCAAGTACTCTACAGGTATGGGAAAATGAAAACAACAAACTCACACACCTTTTTAACGTACACAACCAGTTCTGTCTACCAAGCCAAGGCATATTCTTCTTATGTGGAACTTCAACCTATATCTGCCTCCCTACCAACTGGACAGGCACCTGTACCTTAGTCTTCCTAAGTCCCAACATTGACATTGCCCCAGGAAATCAGACCCTATCAGTGCCCCTCAAAGCTCAAGTCTGTCAGTGCAGGGTCATACAACGAATACCCCTACTTATAGGGTTAGGAATGGCCACTGCTTCAGGAACCAGAATAGCCAGTCTATCTACTTCATTATCCTACTACCACACACTCTCAAAGAATTTCTCAGGCAGTTTTCAAGAAATAATGAAATCCATGCTTACTCTACCATCCCAAATAGACTCTTTGGCAGCAGTGACTCTCCAAAACCGCCGAGGCCTAGACCTCCTGGCTGCTGAGCAAAGAGGACTTTGCACCTTCTTAGGGG